CGTAGAATAGACCTGTAAGTAGTTAAACGAAAATAAGTCCTCTGGTATTACTCAAAAACGGCACAAAACGAAATATGCCGTTATTTCCTATGAAACGGTTTTTGACTATTGCCAATATTCCCAATAAATTAGAGACATGTGTCACTCTTTAGTAGTAGGTGTTGCTTACTTCGATTTTCTGATACATAAATGACACAATTCCGCCCCGTCGGATTGGTAACAGTAAAAGCATAAAATATGATTATTTATCTCAACCGCAGTCGCTATATATGTACATATGTAACTCAAAAATATGAAATTTTTAATTGCGCCGGTATTGCAGAGTTGCATCGATATGTATGCTTATGTACATTTCTTATACACATATATGCAAATAAATATATACTAAAGATGTTACAGTTCTTATTAAAATAGACTTGAAAGGAAACAATACATATCGGCATATTATTATGCAATAAAAAAATACAGTATATACATACATATGAATGTACATACATACATACAAACAAAATGTTGAATAAAGAATGTTAATAAAGCAAATAAATAGCTTACAAATTTATAGCATGGAATTATTGAATTAGAATTAGACAGTTGTGTATATGTATGTATTTACATAGCATACCTACTTACTAATAGATTGTTGTACTGCATAGCTGAAGAGACTATTTAAACTGTTTAGATGTTTTTAACAAAAATGTATTTAAAGAAAATTTAAAAAAAAATATCAGTTAAGGCCTACAATGCCAATACAATACGAGTATATGAAATATATGAAATGTTTTGCTTAAGTTTTGAAAAGTTATAAATTTTACATACATATGCACTTGCATATATGTACATATGTATGTAGATAAGCACTGACGCATATGTAAATTTAAAACCTAACTAAATCGAATACATATCACTTATATATATATATATATACTTATACATATGTATACATATTGATGTAGAGGCAAATAGAAGCTTATAAGTCTACTTATAAATACTAATATACATATTTACAAAAATTTAGATGTACATACATACATACATCTTGTGCAGAGAAAAAATATGTATACCTATTACAGATTTGTTATTGTGTTCACTGTTGCTAAACTAATTATCTTCATATACATAAATATGTATCTGTTTGAAAAATAGGAATGTTATTAAATTGTTACAGAAAATTATCGAAAAGAAAATTTCTCTATATCCTATTACTTATATATTATATAGCCCCTAAATATGAATTTGAACATTACGTGATGAGTATTTAGTCCCTAGTCTGTACATGTATACGTACCTTAAATCTGTTGGCTAATTCCTCTTGTATTTTCTTGTTAATATTTTAAGAGTCTGCTTATAAAGTTCTCGAATCTTAGTTTAATTAAGTTTCCTGTTAAGCTTAAATATTGAAATTGACCTTTTAACCACATACATATGTATGTGTTATGTGTATTCTGAATAAATTCATGTTGTATATACATAAACAAACAAAAAAACACCAAAACATATCGTTTTTTTTCATTTAAAATTAGGATTTCTTCAGCAAGTTGGAGAGATAAGCAAATTAATTAAAGTCAACGTACTTAGTACAGTGGTGTCTGTTTAGGATGTTACTTTGACTGTCATATCTCTACTGTGCCAACTGACGCCAATTGGAAATGCCGAGTGAATACAAGTCCTTCTCCAGCTGGCGCGCTTCCACTCCGCATGCCTGGGTTCAAGCCCTGCTCAAAGAAACATCGCAAAAGAATGTAGAAAAAAGGTGTTTTCTTAACAGCGGTCGGCCCTCGGCAGGCAATGGTAAACCACCGAGGGTATTTCTGCCATGAAAAACCGCTTCTCATAAAAATACAATCGCCGTTCGGAGTCTCTCCACTTTGTATGACAACATCAAAACGCACGCCACAAATCGGAGGAGAAGTTCGGCCAAATACTAGAATATGTGTACATATATCCTATATACCTAGGTTGAGTTAGGTTAGGAAGGCGCGTACGAATAACTCATAATTCACACATCCTTCTAGCTGAGTTTAATCCATACGGTCAGTATAAAGGCTATCAAACCATTTTTTACCCCGTATGGAGCCCATATTTTTAAAAATGTCATCCCAAATGCTTCACTTCACATTAGTAGTGGTGCATCGATTCCTCTTCAACCTCATCCCGACAACTTCTGCAGAAGGAGCTTGTTTACAGAGCCTATTGTCCTATAATATAATAATATTTAGGCCATTTAAAACTATGAAATTTCGTTTGCAAGCTAGGCGTACTAAAGATATCAATCTCTAAGTTTACCTTAAAATTGTTCCAGGGATACGCCGCGTGAACGTGTAACCTTCTGGCAGGTGCCTCGACGGGTTCTTAATATTTCCAACTCAAGTTCAGTAACCTGGCTTTGATAAAATACCACTTCTCAGTACTGTAGCTAAATATCACCAGAGGTAGTATTCATCATGCAAATTTTGTACTTTGGTATCTCCATACCATGTTTCAATACTCTCCCACAGCTACCTCCAGAGATAAGTATGCATTATCAAAATTACAATTTGTATGGGTGGGGCCATGGCCTCCTGATTTATCGAAATTATTTTCAGTCTAACGCCATCCATGGGAAATCCGTAGTAACTAAGTGTGCCAAGTTTGGTTCTGATCAGGAAAGCGGTTAAGGTCTATTAGTCTATTTTTCAAACCAGGTCACAAACCATCAGCGTGCAAAATTTTATTCTCAAACAGGTGGCAACCCTCTTCAAAAATATCTTCGAATTTAAGCTCTCTTAAACTATTTTTCGTTCGACGGCTGTATTGTAATGTTTGATTAAACTTATTTATTTAATTGAACTTTTTTAACAGGTGGCTACTCTTAAAAAGGTAGCCTATTTTCCAATCCAGGCAAAATTCCATGCAAATCCGTTCAATCGTTTCCGCGTGATGGAACTTCAAACATCCAAACATGCAAACTTTCATATTTGAGGCCATGAGGGCCAGATTAGCCTGACACTTAAAAAAAAAAAATTGAGGTGCACTTTAAAATACATTACTAGAATTGAAACGATAATAGCCTGACGCACGCCCTTTTAGTATTCTTTTACTAAAATATGTAGCATCACGTAGGTGCAATGAAGTTTTTAGTAAAAGCCCGCATTTGTTTTTTATAGATGCTTCTTTGTCATATTACTAAAAAAAAAAAAATTTTAGATAGGCTTCTCTGGCCCTCATGACCTTGCTTATAATATTAGTAGAATTATTTATACACCATATTGATTTCAAAATTAAAAGAACTATTTTTTTAATATCATTTAATTTTAAGAAACTGACCTCGTTTATAATATTAGTAAGATATATACCGTATTGTTTTAAAAAGGGAAATAAATATTTTTTTAATTTCATTTAAACTTTAGATAATATTTAAGATTTTTTTTTTTTTTTTTTTTGTCTTTTTTAATAGTTTTTCTTTTGATTTATAGATTCTAAAAACGCTTTTCAGTTTAAATTTCTATGTATATTTTTGCTTGCATTTAATTTTTAGAAATTTCGTTTTTTACTTTTGATTTTATTTATGTAATCTAATTTATTTTTATACTTTAGATTTTATTGTTATAAAAAGAGAAATATTTTTTAGTTTCGCTTAATTTTTTAATTTTTAATTTCATTTAATTTTTGAGACTTATTTTGTTTATTCTTTCTTATTTTAAGTTAATTTTTTTTTCTATTTATGTTGTATTTGTCTTTATTTAATTTTTAGAGAACTTATCGATAAAATACATAAATAATAACGCTAAGACCTCCTCAATTAGTCTTTCGAAAGGCAGAAAGGAGCTTTCAGGGCAGAATCACACGTTGGCTTACGAGTTGAAAGATGGTTGACAGACTTTACCTGTAAATAGAGACCTTGAACTTTCAAGCTGACATACAATTGGTGCTTTTTTTTGGTATTCATGACTCGGTAAGCGCTCGGAATCTCATGCACTAAAAAATCGAAAATATGCGCATATAATATGCACTCAAAATTCAAAAATATGCGCTTTACACAAGTAAAATATGCAAAAAAAATACTTTCCTAATATTTTATTGCCGGTATAGAAATAAATAACACATGTATTTTAACAAGAAAATAACGAAATCAGTTCACTTCAAAATACCATACATATTTATGTATAAAATTTCTTTATAATCAAGCAGTCAGTTACAATCTGGTGTAAATAGGAATTTAAGATAGTTTAATAGTTTAAAGTTTGTCATTTTTATTCCAGAATTCGTGCACCCTACATCCATTTGGCGACTTTAATGAATTATAATACGTCATACAGAGAGCTAAGCTCATCGCAACTTGACCGAACCTTTTAAAAGGCAATCCAATCCTTTCGGCATGTACCCCAACGGGCCAGTGCCCTGTGCATACTGCAGTAAGTTTGTAGGTATTTTCTTTGCTCATTCCTAACAGAACTTTGGATTTAAGTCGGTCGTAGGACACCCACCAGGTAATCCTGTTCGTTCCTGTACGGTTCCACCTCTGCTTGGCCTCCGAGTGACCAATTTCGGTAATTGTTGCTTTTATCTTCCTGAGCGAGGCGCCCATGTCCACCGCGTGAGATACATTCAGTACGGTGCTAGTCCGCTGTCTCGTTATTATAAATATTCTTATGCCCCAGGACCCATATTAGGGTGATTTCGTATTGATCAGATATAGTATAAACCAGTTGATATGTAACAGAGGTAGGAGAGAGTGCCTCAACGGCAATTTTTTTGTCAAGGGAAATTTATTTTGTCAAAAGATGTCGCACTAAATTTAAATGGTTGTAAATCATAAAAAAATAAAAGTATGAAAAACCCGCATGCGTTTATTGTAAAATATACTCAAATATGCAAAATTTATTTTTGCAAAATATGCAAAATCAAATATGCAAAATTTATTTTTGCAAAATATGCAAAATCATGCATTTACTGCAAAATATGCACTAACTCTTGAATGCCATTTTAAAGGAAATTTCATTATTCGTAAAGATAACTTAACCATTTCCATTTGAAGATGTCCAATAAAAACATGCATTTGCATGAGATTCCGTGCCCTATTTTTGACTATTATCGAAAATTAGCCAAAGTATCCACGAATTGATGAATTCACCTCACACTAGTGAGGTTGAATCATTACATTATCAAGTGCACTTCCTTTAAAATAAAAAAAAATGAAATTTATCCACCGCTTATTTCAGTGCAGATTAGCCCTCTGGCCAACTGACCGCTAATTAATTAAAATTTTATCTGATATGCACACAATTATAAATATACATACACACATTTGCATATACATATGTATGTATATATACATATATATGTACATATACACTTCTCGGAATAGATAAAACTTTGGGTATAAAAAGACAAGCGCAAACTTTCCGGTGATATACTTCACCAATCTCAGGAAAGTGAATATCAGTTAAAGACAGCACTGCGCCGCGCCGAAAGCATACAAAAAATGAAAGGTAATTTTAAATAACTTAAAAAGCCAGTAGAAATAAGCATTATTTAATTTAATTATGTACAAATGTTTCTCCTCCGTTAGTAATCCAGCTTCTCCTTAGCATAATGCTGGCCCTCATGCTTGTGGCTCCTACCGTTTTCGCTCAAGTGTACACTGTACCAACAGCAGCTCCAACACCGCCAACAATTAATCCAACAACCGCAGGCGCAGCAACTGATGATGGCCCACCATCTGCGTCCTCAACACCAAGTCCAGCTTCAGTTAGCACCGAATACCCTTTATATGGTACTACTTCATAAATATCTTGATCCAACCCAGCTGTTTATAAATACACACTTACATTTGCCGGGATCTGTGAGTCTGTTCCTTTGAACTTCGCACTAAAACCGGTGGAACTGTCAAACTACAATAACCTACTCTACTATAACCATTTGAAAATTAAATAAATACGAGCTTTAACAGACAAGTAATTTTTAAGCAAAAAACAAAACCGACTTCAAATCTCATAAAAAAATTTAAAAGTATCGTTAATTTTTTTCATCGAAACCAAATTAGTATGGGACCACCTGTGAGGTACCACAATTCCTTTTCAAAAATAATTATAAAAATCGGTTAACGTGGTCCAAAGTTATGTGGTATCAATAATACAAAAAAAATATTCCGATGAATTGATAACCTTCTCCTTTTTTTAAGTCGGTTAATAAAATACATATATACTTGTTTTGGAACTTTGTTGAAAATACTGTCAGTTAATTACAGAATTGGTGGCCGCTGTGATGTAGTCGTTAGAAGTGCGCACTACCATTCCTAGGATCGTGCCTAGGATCGAGCCCACTTTTCGACTAACTACCATCTAAAACAAAAGAAAATATAAAGTTTTCTCTAATAGCGGTATAATACTTAGTAGGCAATGGCAAACCTCTGAGCGTATTTCTGCCATGAAAAAAGCTTCGGAGTCAACGTAAAACTGGCGGTCCCTCCTCTTTGAGAAACTATGCCCATCTTAGTTTTGCGAACTCACGCGTCCTATTAGCAACAAACAAAAAATTCTAAACGAGGATCTGATCCCGTCTGAGCTTACCTTCCAGAATTTCCAGCATGTTTTGGCGGCAGTAGCTCAATGTCTATTCTGCAAAAGCTCCACCAGAGTGCTTCCTGCGCTGTAGCATGTGTTGTTATTGTCTATCAATGGGTGGATATCATACCGTTATTTAGATCCAGCTCTGTAGACCACGTCTCGAATTCGTCCTAACCACTTTACATTTGGCATACCAAAACCGATTATCACATCATCAACATCCACTAAAATGATTTTCGTCAAACTCGCGTATATGAAGACCCAAGAACGTGCTGAGTCGACGACTGTTTCTCAAGGTAGCCCCTTTCTCCGCGAAGAGTGATGGTTTAAACTCCGGTGACGGCATTCAAATGACGGGAGTTGCTGAACGAAGTAATAGTCTCTAGACGAATGTCGGTAATTACCTGTTTGTATGGTCGGGTTGTTACTGTATGTAGTCCAGACTCTAGTCACTGAATTCATTTAGATGCCTTCTGCTGCTTCTTCCAACAAGTGCCTAGTCGGAGCAAGTTTATTAATCGATATAATTATGGGTCACAGTGGGTCAAAATTCTGTGATGAGCTCTGTCTAGGACCTAGAACTGCTGGTTAGCCGGGGAATCGGAATAGTTTAAAAGTTGTGGAGGGTTAGATGGGATTCGCAGATATCACGGTGTGCTAGAGAACACCAGCGCATTGCCCGAGATTTTGGCCGTTATGGGCCAACCTCGAACAGCAAGAGGCCAAAAGGTGTGTTGCCTACTCCATATTTCACTTGAGTCCAAAACAGGTCCTTAAGCGCCTACATCCTTTAAATATATTGTAAATCCGAGATTGGACTCGATGTCAAACAGATCCAGAACGGTGCGGATAATTTCTATTGCCCGAGGAACGAACAAAGATTGAAAGAGAACGCCCATTTAACAGTGTTACCATCGTTGGTTGGTTAAAACCGTCCTCGCCTCTCATCATGTCTGTACGTAGAACCAGCTGTCATGTGAATGTCGTAGATTGATTCGCTTGGTAAGAGTCTGCAGATAATGTGGGTGACGTTTACACTTCTTAATCAAACAAATTGCCTGTCCAGCTCTTGAGCTAGAATATAGATATTCGATTCAGTGACCGTTGCGACTCATCTTCGACAACATGCTATGTTGTGGTTATTGTAGTAGTGTTACATCAACTCGGAAAATTGTCAAGAGTTGTCATCGTGGCGTTCGAGAATCGTTTCAACAGGGTTGGAGGGTTAGATGAGTTTTATAAGTTTGAGTGGACGTTTGAATAAGTTCTGTGTTCATATGGAAAAGTAGCTTATGTCGAAGGGTTGGCTTTAGTATAATGCGGCATTCCTTTTATTCTTTAAACGACAAGGAATTTTTTGATGAGACTTAATAAGAATATTGACTTGCTAGTATCGGAACTATTTCTTGCACGTTTATTTTCTAAAAGTTGTTCAACGGCTCAGCGCCAGCGAATCATTCGGAATCGTATACTGCAAATGCCGATTTATATTAAAGTCAGCCTTTCGACATAAGCTACTTTTCCATACGAACACAGAGTTGTTTGCGTAGTTCAGAACTTCGGTGCCGATTCTAACAACTGATATTATTGGAGATACTATCAGTGCATTCATAGGTGTTGCCAATTCCTTATGAATGTGATTCGGTGCCTATTGATAGCCATTCGGATTCAAAAGTATTTATTTAGTTGTATCATTGATCTTAACTCGGTAGTTGAATTTACGAACATACGGAGTATACATCTTTTAGATAACGGTAAATGACTCGTTTTAAAATTCTCAATTCTATTAATGAACACACTTCAAAGTATGCTTAAATTGCATCTCCCGATAGTCGATTCTTTCTTTCCATATTAACCACAGAAATGCCAACTAGTGGATTTCCCTCATTTTTAGCTGTACTGCTTAATGTTATCCATTTAACACCAGGGCTCAAGAACCTCGTGGTCGTAAACCGCTCAAAAATGTTATAAACAATAAATGTTATAAAAAATAAATGCTACAAATACAAAATAAACAACTCAAACATTTGTTTGCCGCATTTTCATACAACTTTTACATATATACATATATATTTATATTTGGGTTATGCTGCACATTTAATGTGCAATTTAGACACATACAATTACATATTTTATACTACCAAGTCCTTAACATTAACATAGTCAAAATACAGATAAAAGTATGTAATTCTATGAATTTTAAGGCGGATTCTAAGTCACTGTCAACACTTTTACCTAAATACTAAAATAAATATACATATAAGTATACACATCGTATGTGTACATTTAAAATACATGGAAGCATTTTTAACTTGATGAGCCAAATATTTTACTACGTTTATAATACAATATATTTATTTGAATTCATGTTCAAATGCATTTAATGCACTAACAAACAAGGACACTTTTCGCTGCACTCTCAGCGACGCGTTATCTTAAATTCATGTTACGACGAAATGAACGTCGCACCTGAGCTTGCGTGTAATCGCCGCAATTCTGATCGTCACCATGACCATACTGTAAAATTTCGATTTAAATTGTTATAAACTAATTATCAATAACACAAGTTTACAAAAAAAAAGGATTTTTTTCTCTACTTGTCCTTCAACTGACCTCGAACCTGACGTGATGGAGGCTAACAGACCTCGGATTCGCATTCAGGGTGTCGAATAACATAGGTATATAGAGGTTTGGTTCAATATGCAGAAACTTTTTTTTTTGTAAACCTGTGTAATTATTTAGTAATACCTTGCAAAAGTTGTGTTCCAGCAACTCCAGGGCTGTCTGACGATCTTTTGGATCGTGCTGTAAACATTTGTCTATGAAATCATGTCCCTCTTGTGAAAGACTTTCCGGCGCTTCAGGCTTCTCACCCATTCCCACTTTAAACATGATTTGGAAATTCGAGTCGAATTGTGCCCATGGGCGCTAAAATTAGCAGAAGTATTAGTTAAACATAATCACTTAAATGAAATTGGCTTACTTGTCCCGATGCCATTTCAACCACCACACAACCCACAGACCATATGTCCGCAGCACGGCCATGACCATCACTATTGGTTTTAGTGAATATCTCCGGCGCCATGTACGCTATAGATTACAATAAGGAACATAATTGTTAAAACACTCCCACTATCAAGTAGAAAGTTTATAATAATTTCTTTACATACCTTGTGTACCCACATAACCTTGAAGTTCACCTGGCACAGTTGTATGCGCCTGTATTTTAACCGCTGAACCAAAATCTCCTAGCTTTAGGCTATTACTTCCATCCACCAAAAATATATTTGCAGTCTTTATATCCCGATGCACAATGCCGTGCCGATGTAGTTCAGCAACACCTGATAGTAGTTGCACAGTGAAGCGCCGCGATAAGCCTTCCGGCAGACCACCCGATAATTCCACTAATGCTTCTAAAGTACCCTCCGAGCAGAGTTCCATAAATATAAGAAGTTCTTCCTGTAACGATTATTTAGAAGGTGAATGAAGGGGTAAATCAAAACTAAACTAAACTCTCAAATAGCGCCATCGGCCGATTTCAGTATAGATATATAAGCTTAGACTAGCATACAAATTCTGCCATAGGTATAATTAGAAAAAACCCGAACTTTTTCTCCGGCTTATTTGTGTTTACATGTATTTTTAGTTTGTATATACTTTTTTATTAATACAATCTAATTTGTGAAACCAAAATTCAATTTCCAAGTATTTGCATTTAAGTGTCCATAACAAAAACCACTTGAATCAGCTATTTCTCAAATTATGGTCACGAAATGTGATTTTTTGCGATCCCGTACTTATGGACATTGTTCCATTTTTGAGAGCAAAGTGTTCGCTTATTCTCTAATTACCGGATCCGGTTCGGGTTGTACGGGAAAGAGCCTATTGTAAGATATTACCCACTTACCCTATGTACTTCAATACCATAGTAGCGAACCAAATTCTTATGCTTAATACCCTCCAAAATCTTCAATTCTTCAGCGACATTTTTGAGTGCACGTGTCTCACCGGGCTGTATTGCAATTTCTTTCATAGCCATCAACTCACCAGTATTATTATTGACAGCGGTATAAACTTTTCCAAAACGACCTTGGCCAATCTGAAATTGATGTACGACGTTTTGATAGACCAATCATCTAATCATTAATTTCATTACCACTTACCTTAATACCGCGATGCCAATGGAAATTAACACTGCGTGCACGTATCTGTACCTTATCGCAGGTATTCAGTTCCTTGACCTGGCCTATTAAGTTGCGTTCGCGTAAATGTTCTTCAATTTCCATGTCCAAATGATTCACAGCGTCCCGCACACGTACTTGCCGTGGTGCTAAGGAAGAGCTACTGCCGCCATTGGGTGATTTTGACATAGGCGAAGATTGTGGCACAATTAGCCGTA